GAGGATGGGTTAGCCTGGTGATGGGTATTATTTTGCATGGAGCACTGGGTGTTATGCACAAACAATGAATCATGGAACACCACATCAAAAACTAATGATGTAATGTATGGTGATTAACATAACAATAAAAATTAAAAAAAATAAAGTTATTTTTAAGCCAAAGGCAATAGAATACAACAATTACTTGAATTCAAAGGAACAAAACCCAATCTACTTTTTTTTTTTTTTAAAGATTTTATTTATTTTTGAGAGACAGAGTGTGTGTACAAGCAGGGAAAGCAGCAGGCGGAGGGAAAGGGAGAAGCAGGCTCCCCGCTGAGCAGGGAGCCCGACTAGGGGCTTGATCCCAGGACCCTGGGATCAAGACCTGAGCTGAACGCAGATGCTTAACTGTCTGAGCCACCCAGGCACCCCCAAAACCCAATATATTTCTAACTCACTAAATATTCAACTCTATCTACATTGGCCAATAAGGTGGCCACTAGCCACACACGGCTTCTAGTATTTCAAATATGGCCAATGTGACACAGGAATTGAATTTTAAACTTTGTTTAGTTTTAATGTAAAAACTTAAGTATTGTAAAATATTTTTCCATTAATCACAATTGTACTCTTTTGGTAGGATGACATTAATCACCGCACGACCTAAGATATTTTTGTGGTACAGCAGCGTGCATGTCAGGCGCATGTGTTTCTAGTAGGATACATAAACACACCACTGTTCTACTCAGGGACAATAGATTGATTCAGTTCAATCTTCCATGCACTGATGAGACATTATCTGGTGTTTATTACGCAGACAGCACAAGTTACAATGATAGCTATGTAAATCATAATTGGTAACTAATGTGAAACGTAAAGTTAAAAAATAAGTATGGACAAATTTTTAAATTTAAAACAAAGGAATACTACTGATGCCGAATTTTTTTTTTTTTTTTGTCAAGTTAATGTGATAGCTTTATTCCCTTTGAGTTTGTATATTATCCACATCTTCATTGCTGGAATTCCTTTATCAGCTCTTAACCTGACAACCAAGTTCATGAACACATCCTTCAGCACATTACTGGTGTATAGAAGATATGCATTTAGCATGGCTTTGTTAGAGAGTGTAAGCAATTTCTTCTTCTCTCAGTTTTTGGTTCTTCTTATTTTTTAATCAAAGATTGATGGAGAACTGAGTGAGGATGCCAAAGCTAGAACTATGACCAGAACAGTAAAGGAAAAAAAAAAAAAAAGAACTGGCAGAAGGTATGTCAGAAATTTCATAATGAATGGCAATTGCAACTTGCTATAGCAGAGTAAAATGAAAGTTTGTCTGCTGTACAAAGGAGGCATTTTCAGCAAATACATAGTGAATTTCATAAGCAGTTTCCTCTCAACCACCAAACAAAACAAAAACAAAAAAATGAGAGAGACAAACCAAGAAACAGACTCTTTAACTACAGAGAACAAACTGATGGTTACCAGAGGGGAGGAAGGTGGGGGGGATGGGTGAAACAGGTGATGGGGATTAAGAAGTGCACTTGCTGTGATGAGCGCCAGGGTATGTATGTAAGTGTTGTATGTAAGTGTTGTAAGTGTTGTATATAAGTGTTGAATCACTAACTTGTACACCTTGAAATTAATATTACACCCTATGTTAGCCAACTGGAATTTAAATAAAAACTTAAAAAAAATCAGTGAAATTTGTGGCTGAAATCAGAATTAAATACCTTACAAAAAAATTTTAAACACAATTTTAACAGGCTCTGAGCTTGTAACTCCGGTCAGTGATAAAATGGCATGGATTCTTGAACAAAAAGGAAAACAATTTTTTTCAAGATTTATTTATTCTTAGAGAGTGAGAGAGAGAGTGCGAGTGTGTGAACACACAGCGGGCAAGAAGGGAGAGAATCTCAAGCAGACTTCCCACTAAGCACAGAACCCAATAAGGAGCTCGAACTCACGGCCCTTAGATCATGACCTGAGCTGAAACCAAGAGTCGGACACTCAACTGACTGAGCCACTCAGGAGCCCCAAAAGAAAACCATTTTAGGGGCACCTGGGTGGCTTATTCGGTTAAGTGTCTGCCTTCAGCTCAAGTCATGATCTCGGGGTCCTGGGATGGAGTCCCATATAGGACTTCCTGCTCAGTGGGGAGTCTGCTTCTGCCTCTCCCTCTGCCCCCCGCCATGCTCTCTCTCTCAAATAAATAAATAAAATCTTAAAAAAAAAAAAGAATACCATTTTAGATAGAAATACAGTTAGAGGAAATATTCTGAGGAAAAGAGTAAAAAAGATATTTTACAAAAAGCGAACAGTCTTTGGCTAAGTCACAAACATTGCCCAAGGAGTATAAAACCTTTCTAATAATATCAAAGACTGATTCAAAAGTAAAAAAATCTCAAATATTTTTCTTTAGTTTTAGTTGAGTTCTATGACACGAGATGTTGCCCAATTAATACTTTGGGTATGTTCTGTCTCCAACAATTTTCAAATACATGAAAAAATATTACTGAATTGTAACCTTAAAACTATTAACCTTATGGTGTAGATATTTTTTTAATCTTTTACATCTGTCAAAGACGAATTTCACCTATATGTGAAAATTTCTATCGTGACAGTACTTCAGCTAGGTTGGGTTGAAATCTGACTTACTGGGATTTTAACATACTGATGCTTCTTTTATTGCTTCATTGTACTGTATGTTACATACTGGAAACACTTGCACTCAGTTTTCTGAAGCCGGCTCTATGAAAACTATCATGGATACAGTTGTTGAAATGCCTTAGTATATACTTGCAAATGCTACAATGATTCCCCAGTATGGAACTGTTGAAAGAAACAGAAGACAATGAATTTAATGATTGTGTTCTCTGCCAGTGTTCACTGACTGAGAGATAAAGTTCTACAATTCACTGTACTGTCAACTCCAAATCAGATTTCCTTGCAATAAAAGAAAATGCTTCCCAAATCAAGAAATAATTATTTCACTCAATAATCAAAGATAAAACATGGCAGTGGGATTGACATTTTCTCACCAATATCCACACTACATATGATCAAGCTAAATTTAAAGGTCCAAGGAAGGGAAAAGATCTTACTTATGACTTAGCCATACAAGTGTGAAAATTTATGTTTCAACTTCATAATACAAGTCAACAATAATGATTTGACATATTTTTATAACATGACTCAACATGTAGATCTAAGTTGAAATAGCATTACGTTAATTGGCTGCAAAAACTAAAGAGAAGTTTGAAGAACACTTTGTTGATATTGCTAAATTTAAAATTTCTTTTTAATTTATTCAATATTTCTTTTGAATTTGATATTAATGATACTGTGTTGACACAAGAGTTAGCAAATTTACTTAACCTGGACATAGTTCTGAAGAGTCAAGTCAACTCTTCTAAAAATATGAACCAGTTTTGTCAATGTGCATGTGACTATTACAGGAAAAAGGATTTTTCATTCAGTTACTGAAAAAGGTTATGTGGGAACAACTTAAGTATGTAAATCTACTTTTTCAACCATAAATTTTTATGAAATCTAAATACGGGGCAAGTGTTTCAGATGAAAATTTAGTGTCTGGATTAAGATGTTCCAAAAATGTAAAATGCACACCAGATTTTGAAGACTCAGAATGAAAATAAAATACATAAAATATCTCATTGTTTTTTATATTAATATCATGTCAAACTGATTATTTTGGATTTTTCTGGCCAAATAAAATATATTATTAAAATAAATTCCACTCTTTCTTTGTACTTATTTTAATGTGGCTACTAGGTAACTTAAAATTACACACGTGGCTAGCATTCTCTTTCTGCTGGACAGCATCCTTTGCAATTGCTGCATTTCCTCATAAGCCCATTTGAAAAGAAATCACAAAAGGAGACTTATTTATATATACAAGGGAAAAAAACTCACAGTAGGAAAAGAAAGCCTCCACCCTGGGTCAGAAGAAAAGCCATTCAGGGCTCTGAGACTACAGCCTCAGGGCCTTGATGAATTTCTGAAATTCCCTGAAGTATCAGGAGGAAGGGACTTGCTGTAAATGGTCCAGTGGAGAACCCTATCGAGGTTCTGGGAAGCCCTGTGAGGGATGCCCAGTCATACAGCCCATGGGTCCCATTTGTACAGATTAGAACTGTCTTAGCTCAACACTAACTGCTATGGCCACGGGCAACCCAGCTGTCCTCCAGGAGCTGCCATTTTGTCCCACATTAAAATGAGAAAATTACATTTTTAACTCTCTAGAGCCCTTTCGAGCCATACAAAATTATGAGACAAAATGACAAAGGGACAATCAATTCCTGGAACTACCACAATCCCTTGCAGGACACCTGAGAGAATGAAGGAAGCTTATGTGGATGATGACAAGCCCCAGCCTGCATAAGTCATGTCACCATTTACAAGGTGCCATTACAGACCATGTCACATGCCACAGAAGGACACAGAGCAAGTATGATCACCACCATCCACATTTACAGATGGGTCACTGGGATTCAGAGTGGCGTTGCCCAGGGTCACAGAGATCTAGATACCTACTCAGACCCGATCATGACTCCAGCCATGTACTGATTCCACTTTGTTATAGCTGCTAACTACGCAAATATGTAGAATATTATATATATATATAAAAAACATATTATATGTTATATATATATATTTTACAGCATCCTCTGTTCATACTTATAAAAGCTAAATTCTACCTTTATCTTCAGATTAAAAAATCATAGTAGAAAAAAGATTGAATATACCTTTTTAAAAACTTTCTAAACGAATAATCTAAATAAACAATCATGTCCCACTTCTACTCTTAGTCCTGGTGAAACAATCTTTTGCATTCTAAATATGTGAATATGTAGTAACAAGGAGCACCTGGATGGCTCACTCGGTTAAGCATCTGCCTTCGGCTCAGATCATGATCTCAGGATCCTGGGATGGAGTCCCGCATCAGGCTCCCTGCTGAGCAGGGAGCCTGGTTCTCCCTCTCCCTCTGCCCCTCCCCCTGCTTGTGCAAGCACTCTCCCACTCTCTGTCAAATAAATAAATAAAATCTTTAAAAAAAATGTAATAACAGGACTTCACAAAGCCTTGCTCACCTTTAGGGGTAGCTGGTGAATCATGAAAATCCAACACAGAGAGAAGTGGATACACACGTTACTGGGGCCAGTGAGTGTAAACAAAAAGGGGAAAATAATGCCATGAACACCCAACCTAGTAAATAGATGGAGCCCAGAGAGAAATGTGAGTGGGGAAAAGAGCATTTACATTGAGTCATATCTTCCAGTATCTTCTCCCCCAGGTGATTTGTTTGGCTACACACACATGTTCATTGGTCATCATGGAAAGAATACTGGAGACCTGTTACAGCCCCAATTTTAGGGGCACTACCCAGTGTTTCCCTACTCAAATGAAAACAGTCATAGCAGTGACAGCCATACTAATAGTAAGGAGAAGAGCTTTTACTTATGTAGTGTGAACTATGAGACAGACATTACTCAAAGCCGGTATACAAATTAACTCAATTAATTCTTACAACAACCCTGAGGTAGTTACTATTACCATTACTACCCCCATTTTATTTATAGAAAAGGAAACTAAGGCAGAGAGTCAAATACTATTTACCACTTTACACTGTCTCCCTATTTAATCCTTGCAGCCACCTTATGAGGTAGATTCTAAGGCTCGGAGGAATGAGGAAATTTGCCCCAGCTAAGAAGAGGAAGAGCTGGGATTAAAACACAAGCTTCTGATCCTAGATCTTAATCACTGTCTAAGTGAGTCCCTCCACCTTACGGTACCGTTCTTCCGACACCTCGCCGTAACCACACTGCTCAGAGACGGGCGGTGTAGCAGCTACTGTTAGACCCTGCCTGGGTGTCCTTTCTGAGGGGATCCCTGGCTGCTGTGAGGTGGCTCCCAAGAGCTTATGCATGCCTTTTCTCCAGGGTCTAGGCCCTGCCCAGAAATGGGGGGGGGGATGCCCTACATTTTTCACTCCTCCCTACAGCCAGTGCCTGAGATTGGAGGACAGAAGCCAGGTCCTCTTGTCTCAACTCTGAGGTACCCTTAACTCCTGAGCTCCATGGAGTCAGGCTGAGGATAGACTTCAGCTGAAACCGCATCTTTGCTTGGCTTCTACTCCTGCTGTCTACCCTCCCCCCGCTTGCTTCCAAGTGAGCTTCTCCCAGGAGCCTCCACCTCCTCCCCCCAACAATCATCCACACGAGAAACCTAGTTTCCCCTTCTGCTTCTCAGGAGCCTCACCTAGGAGACAGACAGGCTTTATCAAGCACAAACAGCAATGTTTTAGACTGCAATCAAAGTAGCACAGAGGATGCTCCAGAACTAATATCATTGGCTTTTTAGATAAAAATATTTTTATCCTTTAAAAAAAAAATCCCACATTTTTGCTTAAGTTGCTTCAGGATGAAAGGTAAAAACATTTATGTAATACACTGAAAGGATCTTAAACACTTACTTCACTAAAGAAGCTTTGCGACACAGTTTGTCAGCCCCTCTGTAGTAATTCACCAACTGCATCAGCCCAGGCTCGTGACCTACAAAGGAAAGAGAAGGCTCAGAAGGGAAAGAGGACAGGTGGGAAATGACAATGTCAGCACCAGCACATAGGAGAGAACAGCTGTGTCATGCCCAGCTTTTCTTCTTCCCATTTCAGGACTGGTTGGCGGAAATGGAACATTCCGCCGCCCTGCACCTGTACTCCCCTTCCGCAGCATGGCACTGGAAACCCTCCCCCGCCCCACAGTGGATACGAAGGTCTCAACCTCCCAGGTCTGCCAAAGACCACTGCTGCCTTTGTTTTTCTTCTTAGGGTGGAAGGGTATTTTCTATGTCACTTCTCTTTGATCCCCACCACACCCCATTCTTGGCTTAACACAGAGGAATTTAATAATTTCTGTACAATACCACTTTAACAGTCATGCTTTGACACCCCTAACCTTGCTTTTCTACAGCCAGCAGGGAGGGCAGTAGAACTATGCTATTGCTGTTCTCAAGCATGTCTACCTCTGCGAGCTTCTAGGAGAGCCACAAGAGGTGAACGAAGGTGTGGAGAAGCCATGTCTATAAAATCAGAAGCCCTGAGGACTTTCTTCGGTGTATCCTCCACAGAGAAACTCATCTTCAGTAAATCTTATTGCATGTCCCCTCCTCTATAAAATAGAGCAGAAAGGATACGAACAAAAACAAAAGCCTTCACTTTTGTTTAAAATCCTAAGAAAATGCATTGAATTTCCAGCAACAAAAATAAAAGTAAAACCAAACAGGGCGCTGAGTGGCTCAGTCAGTTAGGCATCTGCCTTTGGCTCAGGTCATGATCCCAAGGTCCTGGGATGGAGCCCCACGTCCGGCTCCCTGCTCAGCGTAGGGGGGGCCTGCTTCTCCCTCTCCCTTTGCCCCTCCCTCCCACCCAGGTCATGCTCTTTCTCTCTCTCACTCGCTACTTCTCAAATAAATAAAATCTTTTTTTAAAAAAGTAAAACCGGGCGCCTGGGTGGCTCAGATGGTTAAGCGTCTGCCTTCGGCTCAGGTCATGATCCCAGGGTCCTGGGATCGAGTCCCGCATCGGGCTCCCTGCTCCTTGGGAGCCTGCTTCTCCCTCTGCCTCTCTCTCTCTCTCTCTCATGAATAAATAAATAAAAATCTTTAAAAATAATAAATAAAAATAAAAAAGTAAAACCAAACAAAGGGAGTTTGAGTAGAAGATGCCAGAGGTAAGAAGGATACATCTGAGAATAGCATATAATTAAATAAAAATATTTAGGCACTAACTAGCTCTCATTGTCTCCCTGGGGCAGATGAACCTGGCTCACACCTCAACTGCCTACCTTCTCATCTCCATGGCACCAGTGCATTCCCGAGACTTTACCTGGCTCTATAAGCCATCTCCTTGGGTTTCACACTTTAAGCAAAACTAAATATCCCTAACAGTGAAGACATATAACCATATGGTTGTAAGACGCTGTTTTCTTTTCCATAAAAAAATTTACTTATCATCTGTAGACTCCCTGGTACCTGTTTAGGATTTGGACCCTGTACATTTCTGCTCCTTCCCCCAGCCCTAGCACCTTAGCAATGCCAACCACCCCTGCTTCGGCCCTGTCAGAGACTTTCCACAGAGGAAAATAAGTCAGTCGGGCAGGGAAATGCAAAAGCAAGAAGGAAATATATGTTCTCAACTATAGGTAGTTCTTCTTTCAGGGAAGGTATTCTCTTTGCTGAGGGCTTCCTGGAGAGACAGGTTAACCAAAGGGAATCTCCAGGCATATTCCCTGTAGTCCCAGATTTCTGGGGGTTGGGGTTGGATTCAGCCCCTCCATGGAGTCTCCATCATACATACATCCTAAATTTGTAGAACAATAAAAAGTTGTCCGTGGTACCATTCCGAAGAAAAAATTTCCATAAGGCTATGCTAAACACCCTGCATTCCTGAAATCACTACAACTGTACACCCCCCCCCACCCAAAGGCTCTAATAGCAGTCCACCAGTGGCCAGTCAGTTCCCAATGGTCTGTTTTCAATCTGCCCATTCAACCTCTCCACCCTCTGACCACACCTATTTCTAAAAACTGTTTCCTCTGCTGGACATTGAACACCGCTCTCTCTGGGTTGCCCTCCACGGCAGAGATGACTTCTCCTCATTATTGATTCTCCTCTCCTGTCTTTGGCAATTCGATCTGGTCCCCACCCCAAGAGAATTTTGGCAAGGAACCTGGCTACTGTGAGAGAGGCTGCATCTCCGGGATGACTGCGCAGTGAGAAGCCACGAGCCTGATCAGGTCAATGGGTTGTAAGTTGAAGTGATCTGCACAACTTCTGGATTACGTCATCTAGATAGGAGCTGCTGGTCCTCTCCTTTTCCCTGCCCCTCCCTATAGGCGAGGATGTGCATATGATGCCAAGCCAGCATCAACCATGTGAGTGAAGGTAACTCCCTCGGGATGAGCAGGGCGGAGAAGTGGGACGCAGGGTGAAACCAGTGCCCTGTAAAATCTGCATTCAACACACAACTGTGTAAACACATTCTTTGGGGAAGCTACGGAAAAGTCTCCCTGGCTTCGCTTACTTCTGAAACTCCTGCTTTTGGAATCCGGAGGTCTCTTACAAATCCCCAGCTTATCTGAGCCTTCGGGGAGCTGAATCCTCAGGGTTTTCAACACACACAAGGATCCCTCCCGCGCCAACATCAGGCAGGGTGGAATCCTCAGGGCAGAAAATTCGCAAGAAGACTCCAGCCTGAGGTCGTTCGGCGGCTGGGTGGGACCTGGCCCCGCCCCAGCTCGACCCCGCGCGATTTGGGGGCGTCCGGCAGGGGCAGTGCGGGAGTGAGCGGCTGACGCCCCCCCCCCCCGGCTGCAGGGACTTGCCATTGTCCGGGGGCAGCGGCGGCCCCGAATCCGATTTACGGGACGAGAAGGCATGCAAAGCGGTGGGTTTAGACCTTTATGGATCCATTTTCTCTCTGCCCGAGGAACGACGGAGAGGGAGACTTATGACCTTAAGACAAAAGCGCTGGTGCTAACGAGCCGTGGGAGGAGCAGGAGGGCGGGGACGAGGAAGCGCTCACCCAGTCTCCCGAAGGGCAGCCGGTTCCTCTCGCCCAGCATCAGGTTGAACCTGGGGTTGTCGCGCCTCAGCCTCTTCCAGTGGCCGGTGGCGAGCAGCAGCCGCGAGACCTCGGCGTAGACGCTGCTGTTCTCGTCGCGCACCACGAAGGTGTACATGGCGAAGGGCCGTGCGCCCGGGCCGCCCGGGCCGCCGCCGCAGGGACCAGCCGGCCGAGGTGGCGGCTCAGCGCGGAACCCGCCCGGGCGCCCGCCGCCGCGCCGGCTCCCAGAGCCACTGGGGTCCCGGTGGCGCCGCGCCCGGGCGCCCGCGCGTCATCCCGGAGGCCGCGCCCCCTCCCCCTTCATCAACTCCCGGCGCGGCCCCGCCTCCGCCCCGTGATGCCGCGCGGCCGCCCCCGCCCGGGCCGGGTTGGGGTGGGGCGGGTGTTCGCTGCGGCTCGGCGGAGCGTCCTGGGCCCTGGTGGGGGCTCCCCGGAGGCTGGCGGGGGCGAGCGCGGCTTTGGTGCAGCGTTGGGAATGTGCGACCGGGGGAGACCGGAGACAGCGCGCGTCCCAGTGAGTCCCGGGTCCCAGCCAGGGGGCGGTGCCAGTGGAGGATTTCCCCTCCCACCCCCACTGTTCCAAAGGGATGATTTGTGGATAAAAATGAAACGTTCCAAGACACAATCCCATGTCTGCGGAAGGGAAATGGAAAAGGCAATTCTAAAATTTATGCAGCAATGCAAAGGTCGAAATATAACAAAAGCAATCTTGAAGAAGAAAGTTGGAAGACTTTACCAGATATCAAGACCTATAAAAGTTATGGTATTTAAGTACAAAGCTACAGTGATTAAGAAAGTATGGTTTGGGCACAGGAGAGACAAGTAGACTATCGATTGATAGCTGTAGTCACTTGGTTCGTAACAAAGGTGACGTTGCAGATCAGTGGGGAAAAGGGTGGACTTTTCAATAAATGAAGCTGGGTCAATGGATATACATTTGGAAAACAAAATTAATCTTGACCTTTGTCACACACAAAATCAGTTGCAGAGTCATTGTGAGCTGATGCATCTAAATATGAAAGTAAAGCCATAAAGCTTTTAACAGAAAAACATGAGAGAAAATCTTTATGATCTTACACTAGGTAAGGATCTTAAAGAGGACACAAAAATCTCTAGGAATAAAGGAAAAAACTAGTGAATTAGCACCCTTAAAAGTAAGAAACTTTTCTTTATCAAAAAACACCATCCAGAGAATGAAAAGGAAAGCCACAGAACAGGATATGATGTCTGGTGTGTGTGTGTGTACATACATATCTGACAGGACCCATATTTAGGATACATGAGGAATTACAAATTAATAATTTAAAAAACTGGCAAGCCAATTAACAAAAGAACTGAGCTAGATATTTTAAGGGACAATCCAATAGGTGAACTCTCAGCACAAGAGAAGATTTGAAGAGTCATAGGAAGACACTAAATAAGGAATATGTTAGGCTAAAAAGCAAGGCCACCTTTAATAGTTGCAGGGCGAGAGTACAAATGGAAACCATATGTCTAAATGTCTACCATATGTCTAAATATTTTAAAGTTATAAACCATGCCCATAAGCTGCTACATAAAATGCCTGTCTTCCCGCCTTACAAATATATAATGATAAGGATGACCTGGAAGGCCAAGAGTTTTAGAATTCTCAGATTCATAGAAGTTCAATGCCAGAAGTTGGAAATACTGGGAGAGAAGGCCCTGGCCTCCGCCCATGGCCTGCCCCTGTTTCCTCCTTCCTTGACTCCATCTACTCACCCAGCACCTCCCACATACAGCTGCCATTTGGTCACTGCCCAGCCCTAGGGATGTGCATACCAGCAATGTCATCAACCCTTGGGAGAATAGACCTGGGAAGAAACCAGTGCAGGCTCAGGACAAGAGCTGGGCTATTTGGACCATGAATTCTGATTCTCAGGTACCTAGCATAGTCTAGAAAGGGGGGGAGGGGCCATATCCCCTTGCCCTCACAAACGTCTCATTCATAGGGAGGGACATGGCTAGAGTAGGGTCAGACTGGGAGCCTCTAAAGCAAGGACCTTTCTTACATGGGCCTAAGGGTCATACGCCTAAGAAACAAGCTTCAGAATCCTCCGCTACCCTTTCCCCTCTCTCTGCTCTTTGTGTCCTATACTTAGACACCAAAACAAGTCAAAATTCTTTTTCTCTCATCATCTCTAACATTACCACAATCACTTTGTGCTTTGGGTTTCACACCTGTCTTCTAGCTGCTCTTCTTGCTTTAGCCCCTTTACCTCTCCAGTCTTCTCTGAACATCATTACTAAATTAATCTTTCTAAAACACAGCATTCCTCACACCTACCCATACATCAAAGACTGCAATGGCTCCCTGAAGCCAGCGTCCTCAATTTCAAAGTCAACCTTTTTATTAAGTCTTCCCATTGTAACTTTCTTGCCACATTTACCACACTACTTCAACGAAAGTCTTTGAAGTGCCCTGATCATCATCAAGGTCAAATGAAAGTGTGTTAGATGGAGTTTCAATGTTGTGTGTATTAACCCTTCCAAAACTGATGAACCATGTACCAGATGGATCATAAAGTCCCCATTAATCAAAACCTTTAATTAGCTAGCATTTTCTATCTCACAATTGTGCTGAATAAGATAAGACTCACTATTTCTTTAGACCAAGGTCTTGGTTGCTCTTTAACACTTTGGAGGTAGGACTGCCGCCTCCTTCAACAGAGCCTTTCGACACCCCTCCCTGAAGAATGCCACTCATACTCTTCTACTCCAGAAAACCTGCATTAAACAAGTCCTTTTTCCAGACAGTGTTCAAGGCATGGAGGACACAGGATGAGGTCCCTGTTCTCACAGAGCTCTGGTCCTGGGGAAGCTTACATTTTTCTGGATGCTACCTAGAGGAATTTAACTAGAGGAGCAAATATCCCTCCAGTTTCTGCTGCTGGAATTCTGGGTTAGAGTGACAGTTGTGAGGACAGGAATACCTTCTAGAGACACTCACATCTCAACATGTAGGATGAAGCTGCTTAAGTCCATATGGCACCCGAGTCATTTTCTCCTCTATTTCCTGTTCTTCCTAGATGCAGTAACTCCCACACAGAGATGAAGGAAAATAGAAAAATAACTCCGTGAGTTGCACTCAAAGGACACTGTGAAACCTAGAGTTACAAGGTGTCAGTGACTGTGAGGTGAGGCCCATGTCTCCTATCCAGAGACCTCCAATGGAGCCCATACTCTCTTTTTGCCCGGGCCATGTTGCTATAGCATGATGCATGCTAAGAGTCTGCACATAGGGTAACAGGCCTGTGAATGACCAGCTTAATTAGATATTGGTGGCATCTCTTCTTTTTTTTTAAATTTATTTATATGAGAGAGAGAGAGCGCCCACACACATGGGTGGAGGAGAGGGGCAGAGGGAGAAGGAGAAGCAGACTCCCCGCTGAGGAGGGAGCCCTGGGATCATGACCCGAGCTGAAGGCAGATGCTTAACTGACTGAGCCACCCAGGGGCCGTGGTCACAGCTTTTCAAATGAATAAATATATTAATAAATTTAAGATAATTTTCCCCATCCCATAAATAACTAGTGGTGCTAAGGAGACAGGAATACACGAGGCATTTGAGACAGGAGAATCATCAGGGAAAATTTCTTAGAAGAAATCAGTTTTGAAACCAATCTAAAATGGAAGGAAACTGAGTCCCATCCTTATCAACCAAAGGAAAGGCCAAATGCTACATCTTCCTCTACCCAGTTTATCCCTAAAGCTCATCCGACTTTGGGTATCACTGCGGATACATCAACAATCTAACATCAAGGTTTTACATAACTCCTGAGGCTGCCACTTGTGAAGTTCTCTTCCCCTCAGATATTCCTGGGAGGGTCCTTCTCATGCCAAGCCTCACCAAACCTCCTCTGTGGTTCACCAGCCTGCAGGGTGAATCCTACCCTTCTCCGGGCTGTGTTGCCTGGTGTTCTCCCAAAGCCAGAAAGGCCATATAAGTGTCCTTGATGGCTCTACTGAAAGTGAAAGACTGCCTCTTCATAGAGTTCCCAATCCTAGAGTAGAGCAAAGGAGTGACTCTTCTATTGTCTTCTCAGTGACCCTACTGAAATTCTCATTCCAGCTCCAAGCCTCCACTCTAAAACCCAGCCCCCTGCTCCTCCAGGCAGATCACCTCTCAGCCTGTCTGGAATACGGACTGCAGCCCAGCTGAAAGAGCCTACTCCACCTTGGGTGGATTCCTAAGAATTGAATTGCTGTGTCCTCTGGTAAATTTATGTCTAATTTTTTAAGACACTACCAGACTTTTCCAAAGTGGATCTAGCATTTTGCATTCCTACCAGCAGTGCACAAGGGTCTTAATTCATCTGCATCCTTGATAACACTTGGTATTGTCTTTTAAATTTTTATTGATTTATTTTTTAAAAAATTTTATCTATTCATTTATTTATCTAGAGAGCGCATGGAGAGCGGGGGGGGGGGCAAGGAGGAGGGAGAGAGAGAATCTCAGGCAGACTCCCCGCTGAGTGGGAAGCCTGACTCAGGGCTCAATCTCATGACCCTGAGATCATGACCTGAGCTGAAACCAAGAGTGGGTCACTGAACCGACTGAGCCACCCAGATGCCCCAAGAATTCTTTTTATACTTTGGATAGAAGCCTCTTATCAGATATATGACTGGTAAATATTTCTTCCAGTTTGTTTTTTATCTTTTCATTTTTAATGATGTCTTTTGTAGTGCAAAAGTTTTAAATTTCAATGAATTCTAATTTACTGATTTTTTTTCCTTTTACGGATTTTAAAGCTATAAATTTCCCACTATGACCTTAGCTGTATCCAATATATTTTGATCTGTTGTGCTTTCATGTTCATTTAATTTGAAAAAATTTCTAAGTTTCCTTGTGATTTCTTCTTTCATCTATAGGCTATTTATTAACATATTGTTCAATTTTTAAATATTCAAGGATTTCCCAAATTTCTTTCTGTTGTTGTTGTTTTTTTCTTTTAGATTTTATTTATTTAGTTATTTATTTATTTGACAGAGAGAGGGAGAGAGCACAAGCAGGGGGAGCGGCAGGCAGAGGGAGAGGGAGAAGCAGGCTCCCCGATGAGCAGGGAGCCCCATGCGGGACTCGATCCCAGGACCCCGGGATCATGACCCAAGACAAAGGCAGACGCTCAACCCACTGAGTAAGCCAGGTACCCCTCTGTTGTTGATTTCTAATTTAAGTCTGTGGTGGTCAGAGAATACACTTTGCATAATTCTAATCCTTTTTATTTATTGAGACTTTTATAG